TCGTAACTTTGTATTTTTTAAGGTTTTCCAACGACGTTTTAGCCGTAGCGCCATCTATGAGAAATCTATGATATTTCGTCACCTAGTTAGATACCTTTACAGCTACCAGCCCCGGCTAGAGATGTTGCTATTCATTGTATTTAAATTTTTATTGAATTGATATTCAATTATTTTTATGTGAAATTATTCCACTAAATAGTGGAGTAATTTGACAAACTTATCATAATTGTTAATACAAAGATCGAATACTCAGAAAAAATTCCTTCGATCCGGCCGGATTCGAATCGACGTCTTCGAGCATACCGTGCTAGACGCTATACCAATTATGCCACGAAATGAACCATTTCATTATATTTTTCAACATTCTTACAATGAATATCCATGAAGGACTGGATTGGACTCCATTGAGACATACAAATGTTCCTACTACCATTTTGAATGTTATTTTACGTGACTTGAAACACCGTTTGCCCTACTATTGTGGTTTCGTGAATTATGGACACTAATATTCGTCTAATACCATCTAATATTCGTATAATTCTGTAGACGTCAATAACTTACCTAACTTCACTTCTTTATCTAAGAAAGATAGAGTCACATAAATTAGTCTACGCTTCCAGAAAATATGTTAGTGAAAATTCCACACATCCTTCGTATCATAAACCAGAATGCGCAGTTTTTTTTTTCAGACACATACCTATTATTTAATGGACGGGAAAAAACAGACGACTGTTATAATTCTGGTAGTGTAGGGTCTGTTGTCATTCTAGTGCCGTCTAGTCAGGTTTCGAGTCCAATATTAATTAGCTACTGAGTCATTACCAAATATTATACGCCATTATGTCTGAGAATAAGCAACAGCATGAATATATAATAAAGCGTGCTCCGCTTCGTGTGTAACAAATCTCGAATTTAAATTTGCTTAGCAATCAGATTAATTTCACGCCTTATTTTCAACACGTTGATTTAACACTACGTCTATTTTAAGCAAAACAATTAATGTGACGCGTTCGTTCCGTACAATTTTTTTAAAGCCATGTAGTTTCCTATCTTTTTTTATAATATCAAGTGACGGGACGAATAAGACGTGCGCCTGATGGTAAGCTACATGTCCTTATGGACAGACAGAACTTTTAAATCGCAAAGATCTGAGAGGCATTGCCACTGCGCTCGTCACCCTGAGACATAATTTGACAAGTTTAATGTACCTGTAATTGTACTGTAGCACTCTTATCCTTCAAAACTGGAACACAGTAATGCTGACATTACCTACTGATTGGCGGCAGAAATTGGTAAGGTGGCAGTACTTCCCTGGACGACACTTTCACAAAGAGCTCTACCGCTACTAAAATATCTTATATATTTCGAAAATCCTTCACACTATGATCCTGCACACACATGGTTGAGTAAACACGATGTAGCTTACGAACAAAGGAATAGAAACTTGACTCACATTGTAATATTCGTGACGAAAATAACTGTCAGTTTCAATACTGAAATCGTTGACACGGCGTTAATTTGCAACGGCCACTGTTACTTTGAAAACAATTTCATAACAGACAAAGCTCGAAACTAAGTCTCCTCGACGAGTTACCCCGAGACGAATCTATTGTCTTTATTATTATTTTATTAAAGTTATGAAAATGAAGGCAGTCGGTACTTATTCGACATCTTCACCGTTAAAATTGGGCGTTTAATTAAATGGGATCAAAAATACGTACTTTTAACAGAAAGTTTTAAGGTGGTGTTTTTAATTATACGAGTAGATAAGTACTTATGACATTTATGCAAGTTTGTGGTTTACAAAAAAATTATATATATTGAAGCATTCTACACTTTTGAATAGTCGGAGCCTGACATAAGTCCGCACTTAATCTTGTTTTATGACAGTAGTACCAAATTTAACGTGACCCAGTTACAAAATATAAAGAACTTTACGAGGCTTCATACCTGTACAGTGGCATATAGTACTATGAAAGTATATATCGTCAGAGACTGGAACAATAAAGCACAGAATGGCGTTAATAAAGTGCACGCCCCTCGCGCAGTGGAATCGTATAAGCCGAGGTTACCAAGCGCCTTGTTCTTTAAAAAGCACTATGAATTATATGTGAACGCAGAAAAGTCGCAATGGTACAAATAGACTAATATATGACACTAATAGTACGAATGATTACATTTGCGAATAAATAAAAATATATTATCTTAATAAAAACAGTAACGTGAAATATGGCTACAGAACAAGTTAGTCAAACAATAAACAGAATATTTTTTACCAATTTATATAGATATTATTTGTAAACAGTTATTTCACATTTGACATTTCACGATGAACGTCGGCCAGAGACTCTGATACTCGTGTGATAGAAAAATTGTCACTGAGAAATTTCGTAAAGACGCGGCGAATGTCGATCGAAAACAACTGTTGGTATTCTCAGAAATTTACAATAGACATCATTCTACCTTTAGCGTTCGACTTGCATGACAGCCATGTCATGTCCGGCTCGAAGGACCAAATGTAAGGGCAGAATAGCGACTCTATCCTTACAGGATGTTACCTCGTGATCGCGACACGGTCACCGTTGTCACGAGGATGGTTTCGGAGTAGTTGTTGGAATTAAAAATGTTATAAGTTTAAAAGTAAAGTTGTTTCATTATAAACAAAAATGTAAAATAAAGTATTGTAAATGTTTTAAATATGTTAACGTTAAATGTTATTGATGTTTATTGTTTAGGATTTGGTAACTATCTTAAAAATACAGTAAAATGTCATAATACGATTTACCACATCAACAAAATAACTAGAACTAGCACATTAACACATCTTACTACAGCAAAATAAAACTAGAACTAGACCATATCAATGCAGCAAATTAAAGTTCAATGTTGTACGTAACCGTACAACGAGTGGTAAGAGGATGTAGAGATAGGGTGGATCTGTTTGCTTTTGAGAAATACGCATCATGTGTTATATCGATATATGATAAGAACAGAATAAGTACTAATAGAGATTTCAAAATCTTTCGACCTTGCATTTGTATTGATACCGAGACTAAGAATTTTCTAGACAACAGAGATCTTTAGATACTGAGTAACATTTTCTTAGATATTGAAGATGCGACATTATATTTCAATCGAGAAAATGTCGTAACATACAAAAATTATTCCCCAGACGGGGTACATACGTATTATTTTCTTTTAATATCGCTGAAGGGCGCTTCTCGAGGCTAATCCCCGCGGTACGGAGAATCCTCAAACATCAATTCAAATTCTATCTTTGAACATCTAAGCCTTTGTGTACAAAGTTAAGAAAATCTTAACAAAGTTTTCACTCTTATTTTACGAGGAAATCTCCGTCCCTGTAAGTGGATGCTTTTGGCGCAAACTCTATGCTCGGCCTAAAGTACTTTGAAAGATCGAAATAACGGGTTCAAACTAAAAATTCTGCTTTATAATTTTAAGTTACTTTGATACAAGTGTTCTAAAATTGTTGTTTTCGGGTGAATATCAACAAATGCATTCTTGTAAGTTTTGGTGGCGCAACTTTTTTTTTTAGATTTTCCAGTATCCGAGACTCGTTTGCAATAAAATGAAACATTTCATTTACATATACGTGACCGGGACATAACCATTTCCATTAATTTCAGAGATATAAGCAATTAAAAATTTTTCTCGCCACCAATACTTAGAAATGCCACCAAAACGCTTATCGGTTGCACCAGAATTGAATATTGCCACCAAAGTTGGAATATATAAAAAACAAAGACTATTAAGTAAATTTAATTGTGATAAAAATTTGTTTGCCCCTTTAAAACGACGCACAGTTGGAATTTTCTTCTGCTTTTTCTTTTTAATACCATGTGACGGGACGAACGAGTCATGCGCCTGCTGGTAAGCTACACGCTTGTCTATAACAGTGGCAGTGCCACTCAGAGCTTTAAATAAGCAAAGATCTGAGGAGCACTGCCACTGTGCCCGTCACCCTGAGACGTAAGTTGGCAAGTCCCATGTGCCTGTAACTTCACCAGCACCCTTACCCTTCCAAACCTAACTATGCTAACATTACTGCTTGGCGGCAGAAATAGGTAAGGTGGCAGTACTTCCCTGGATTTTAGTGAATGAATTCATTGTTGTTTTAATTGGCAGTTGAAGAACTATGATACACAACGCCATCTCTACGAATGTTTCCTAAAGATAAGTTATAGAAACCCAAATGTTTACCATGAGGACATACGGTAGGTTTCTCCGGACATTAAGGCTTGATGAGGCATCATCATCATTCACAGACTGATTTCACCCACTGCTGGGTATAGGCCTCCCGAAGTTTGTGCCATCCATCACGGTCCCGTGCTAGCCGCATTCATTCACACGCCGCGACGCGCACCATGTCGTCGACCCACCTTGCAACAGGGCGCCCGACGCTTCTTTTGCCCATCCTCGGCCACCAATCAGTCGATGTCTTGTTGGTGGAACAAGACATCGACTGATCATCACCTTGCCTAGCTAGGTGTCCCGCCCATTCCCATTTGAGTTCCATGATCCGAGTTCCAGCATCCTAGACTTTCTTCCATCGTCATATCTCAACGTTCGGAACTCGGTCTACAAGGCTGATGCCGAGCATAGCGCGCTTCATGGCCCTCTGTACAACTCTCAACCTGTATACAGTCTCCTGCGTGAGCGTCCACATCTCGTCACCATACGTCATGGCGGGCAGAACACATTGATTAAACAAGCGGGTCTTCAGATACTGTGGAACCTTACCTGATTTAAGGATGTCACCTAACTTGCTAAACGCAGCCCATCCCAGCTGGAATCTTTTTGAGATCTCTTTAGGCTGATGCTCTTTGCCAAAGAAAAGAACATGTCCGAGACAGACGTACTGATCGACTCTCTCCAGTCTCTCATTTCCCACCGTGACAGTGGTATTTGACGGACTGGAGAGATTCGCCATAATCTTCGTCTTGGACATATTCATCCTTAGGCCAACTCTCAAAGAAGCATCATAAAGTTGTTCCAGCATCCTTTGGAGATCGTCGAAACTTGCAAATAGCACGAGATCGTCCGCGAATCTTAGGTGAGACAAATGGTGTTACACCATTGATGTTAATGCCGCGGTTATCCCATTTAAGGGTTTTTACGACATCTTCAAGTCCTCGCCGGATTGGAACGGGATTGGTTAAATCGTGAACTCGTACCTGCAGAGTGGCTGAACGGTAGAGCTCCCGGGGCACATCCACGTAGCGGGAATCGATGTGGCAGCGATGAAGAGCGTGGAACACGGCCCAATGTTTGATACTGTCAAAAGCCTTCTCATAATCGACGAAGGCCATGACAAGGGGCCGGTTATATTCGAGACATTTCCCCATCAGCTAATTAACCGTGTGGATATGGTCGATGGTTGAGGAGCCGCTCCGAAAGCCAGCCTGCTCAATAGGTTGCGCTTCGTCAAGTTCACTGGTAAGCCAGATGGTCAAAATCTTTGTAAATAGTTATAAATCTGAGAGAGCAAGCTAATCGGCCGATAATTGCTAAGTTTTGCAATGTCGCCTTTTTTGTGGATGGTGGTGACGATGGCAATCTTCCATTGCTCTGGTGTTCGAGCTTCATGAAGAACTTTGTTGAAAAGTTTCACAAGCACTTTTACCACAGGATTTCCTCCTGCTTTGAGTGGCGCCTCGCATGCCGTAGCGAGCAGACGTGTGTTTTATACGGTCGTATCAGCGCTTCGCGCTGTCAGTGTGTGTTACGTATTTTACGATGTCAACGATTGTAAAATGTGGAAGCTGCAACGTTGTAATATGCGAATTACTGGCCTTTGTTCAAAATAAAATACAGGTCATGGATGAAGAGAGTATACGACGTATCTGCACAACTTCTTTCTCGACGGTAGAAGTGACTGAGGCGAAAAAGCTGCTGTGTGATTCCATTCCGAGCAAAGTACGAAGAATCACCAGAAAAGGCGAAGGAAAATCGCAGAGGGATATAGAAGACATCATATGTCTTTTTAAGGAAACTGACCCTGACTTAACCCCTATTTTTGTGGCAAGGGACCTAAATAAACTACCTCCCATCACCTTCGATTATGTGGACGCATCAAAGCTTTTAAGGGATATAAATTTACTACAACGTGATCTAAAGCTGGTGCAGGATGCTTATGTATCTAAACAAGAATATTCAAAACTCAGAATAGAGCTGGATGCTCTCAAATCCGCGTCACTAGTGAATAATTTCAATAATACGTGCAATTTTAACGAAAATCTTAACGTTAACCAAAGACTAAGAGGCGCCTATTTGTTGAACAATTCGGATGTCGATAGTGGCCCCATGGGTATTAATTTTTCCGATATTGGAGAATCTCGCAACCCGGAGGTAGATCTGAAAATCGGCATCCAGCGGACACAGGTAATGGACGCCGCTGTGCCGAGTGTCTGCGATGAATCACCCGCACGGCCGATGCTCGCATCGCCGCCCGCGCCGGAGCCGCGTCAGGCAGTGTGTGACGTAAGCGATCAGCTGAGTGCGCCTGCGAAGAAAACTTGTTTCTCGAGTGCGTTTGTCGCGGAAGCAAATGTTGATAAAGGAAATGAATGGATAACAGTGATCAATAACAAGAAGAAGTCTAAACGTTATGAAAATAAAATAGGATTGGCAACACAATTATCGAATTTTAAATCAGCGAATTTAAAAGTGCCTATATTCCTATCAAATGTGCACAAAGATACTAAACCTGAGGCAATAAGTGACTATGTTTACAAGCAAACGAATGAGAAAATATCTTTAATTGAAATAGCACAACGCAAGGAAAGAGGATATAATGCGTTTAAGATGTTTGTTCCTCGGCATAAACTATACATGTTTCTTGAAGAAAAATTGTGGCCTGAAGGAGTAATATTCCGTCGTTTTATAAATTTCAATTACCAAGTAAAGCACCGTGTCGAGGCTAGCAAACCAGGTCAAAATGAACAGCAACAAAGAGATTGTACCCAGTAACAGCTTTGTTACATTTAACTGTAAATCGGTGAAGAGATCGGTCGAAGGAATTCGTCAGTTATGTAAGACAGCTGACTTAATAGCTCTACAGGAAACGTGGCTCTTTCCGCATGACCTGCCGTACCTTGCGAGTATAGACGCTGTCTTTGGGAGCACCGGGACGTCTGCTGTCGACACTACGGCTGGAATGCTGGTAGGAAGGCCCTATGGTGGGGTTGCGCTGCTTTGGAGAAAAAGTGTGTTTCCCTGTGTATCGATAATACCGTGTTCGAGTGCTCGTATTTGTGCCATTAAAATTCATCTGAATAATCAAAAGTTTATAGTGTGTAGTGTATACATGCCCGTTGACTGTAGTGAAAACTTAGCAGAGTTTACAAATTGTTTGGGTCATTTAAGTGCCATAGTCGAGGCAGGTGAATGTGAGGCTGTGTTTTTATTGGGTGACTACAATGCACACCCAGGTCAGCCGTTTTTTAATGAGTTAAAAATGTTTTGCTCGGAACAGAACTGGATTTGTGACGATGTGAGTAAACTAGACTCTAATTCATTTACGTATGTGAGTGATGTGCATGGGACGGGGAGGTGGTTAGATCACTGTATAGTTACTGAATCAGCGCATAAATTAATAACTAGCACCAGAATTTTATACGATGTATATTGGCCTGATCACCTCCCACTCCTTATTGAATGCAGGCTTAATTGTGTTGTACCTAAGGTCAGTCCTAAGAATACATTTTGCAATGAAGTTAAATGGGGCAATAGAACTGATGAGCAAATAAATCATTATACAGAATTATGCAATAGAAACTTAAAACTTGTAGACTTTCCATCAGATTTTATAAAGTGTAGTTATGGCTACTGTAATGACGTGTGTCATAGAAATGTTATTGATAACTTATATAAGAATATAGTGTCTATTTTATCATCTGCAGCAATTGATACCAACAAAAGAAATGTTTGTAAACAGAAAAAACCTGCCATAATAGGGTGGAACAAGCATGTCAGTGCGGCACACAGAGAGGCCAGGTCCAAGTTTAAGATGTGGGTTGTGTACGGTCGACCGAAACAGGGTTTTGTTTATGATGAGATGGTGGACAGCCGGCGTGTGTTCAAAAGTAGATTAAAGTGGTGCCAAAATCATAATTATCAATTAAAAATGAATATTTTGGCGATTCATCACTCGAAAAACGACTTTGGAAACTTCTGGAAGTCTACGAAGCGGCTTAATACCGGACCTGGTCTCCCAGAGACTGTGGGCGGGGTGAGTGACGTAAAGCTAATTGCTAACCTTTTTAGAGAGCAATTTACGATCTCATCACCGCTGGGACCATCGTCAGTTCTCACGCCCAGTGCTGAGACCAAGCGTGATCCAAATGTAGTTATCAGTGGAATGACAATTGCACGTATCCTAAAAGCTATGTCAACAGGTAAATCTCCGGGTCACGATGGTCTCAGTATTGAGCATCTAAAGTATGCAGGTGTACATCTACCCAGAGTGCTAGCGCTTTTATTTAACGTTTGTATCGCACATTCGTACCTGCCCGGGGACTTGATGAGAACCACAGTGGTTCCTATTGTAAAGAACCGTACGGGTGACCTATCGGACAGATCCAATTACAGGCCAATATCCTTGGCAACGACAATAGCCAAGATATTTGACAGTGTGCTTAATTCGGTATTGGAAGAGCACTGTACGCTCCATCATGGACAGCATGGCTTTACGCGGGGGCTGTCAACGGAGACTGCAATGTTGAGTCTAAAGCACACTGTCAAATACTATACGGACAGGCGTACACCTGTGTACGCCTGTTTCCTGGACCTCAGTAAAGCTTTCGATCTGGTCTCGTATGACATCCTGTGGCGCAAGTTGAAAGATGCGGGACTACCTGATGGCTACACAGACCTGCTAAAATTTTGGTATTGTAATCAGGTGAGCTATGTGAGATGGGATAATGAATTTTCCGAGCCGTACAGGATGGAGTGCGGTGTGAGGCAAGGGGGATTAGCCTCTCCGAAGCTCTTCAACCTGTATGTAGACGCATTGGTCCGGGAGCTCAGCGGCATGCATGTCGGGTGCCACATTGGCAACGTGTGCGTCAACAATATCAGTTATGCGGACGATATGGTCCTACTGGCACCCTCGGTCAGTGCATTAAGAGCGCTTCTCGGAGTCTGTGAAAGTTTCGCTGCCTCACATGGCTTATTGTACAATACCGATAAGTCACAGTTCATGGTCTTTAAGGCTGGTAATAAATGTCCTAACTTTGTACCCCCTATAAGTCTCTATAACGAACCTTTAGAAAGAGTTTATAAATTTAAATACCTTGGACATATTGTGACTGACAGCCTTAGGGACGATGAAGACATTGATAGGGAACGTAGGGCACTGTCGGTTAGGGCGAATATGTTGGCACATAGGTTTAGTAGTTGCACGGATACAGTTAAAATTACACTTTTTAAAGCATACTGTACATCATTCTACGCGTGCAGCTTATGGACCAACTATACCAAAAAGGCCTACAGTGCCCTGCGTGTCCAATATAATAACGCCTTCAGGGCGCTGTTGCGGCTGCCGCGCTTTTGTAGCGCTTCTGCGATGTTTGCGTGGGCGGGCGTAGACAGCTTTGAAGCTATCATGCGCAAAAAAAGCGCATCAATATTATACAGAGTGCGTGGCAGCAGCCACAGCGTGCTGAGGGAGATGGCTGACAGTGGGGACTGTCCACTGATCGGCCACATGCTGAGAAGGACGAGGTCACTTTTAGAAATAAAATACTAACATACTCACTAAGTTTGTACTAACAATTTATGGATCACGGTTGTCTGAAATAAATACTTTTATTATTATTATTATTTGAGTAGTTGGACTGAAACACCATCATCTAATCGTCATCAGATGATGGTGTTGATAAGGCACTGAGTACTAATTTAGAGTTATTACTTTTTCTTCAAATAACCTGAAGAATGAGCCAGTCTTTTTGAACAATTTCGTAATGTACACGTTTAATTTGAATATTATTACCGGTAGCTTTTAACGCCAGATGATCGAATCAATGTCAGTAATGTCATTCCCAAACGACACTGATTGATCTGTAGTTGTCTTTAAAAATCCTCCAACTACATCCGGGGCACCCGCGATTATTGCGAATGTGGCCATGGCAAGGGTGCCCAGGAGTTGAAGGATTATTAAATAGAACTGCAGATCAAAGTGTCATTTGGGAACAACATTACTGATATTGATTCGTTTATCTGGCATTAAAACCTGCCATTGATAAAATTAAAATTAAACCTGTAGAAAATTACGAAATTGTAGAAAAGACTGGCCTTTTCCTGGTAACATGAATTTTCTTCAGGTTGTAAATAAATTTTATTGAATGTCAAGATGTTTCACCACTATGATATTCAATTATTTTTTGTGAAATTACTCCACTAGTTAGTTATAATTGTACCGAGTGTTATTTCTTCAGGTTATTTGGAAAAAGTAACAACTATAAATTAGCATTCTGTGCCTTATTTTGCATCAAGTCTCAATGTCTCGATAAACCCAACGACTATTTTATACAATGAAACAGAAAGTGGACACACTAGCAAAACTGAAAATCGGGACATTAATATTTTTTATTAATTATTATTGTACAATGAATTTTCTGAAATTCTTGCCCTAAACTCATTTTACGTCTAATTAAACTATAAAAAATAAATCATTAATATTTCTTCACTTTACACCTGGTTTCTCAGCCTGGACTCGCAAAATGTACGCATGAGATATTCACCCTTTCCTAGAGTAATGAAATGCAATTAACCTTTATGAAAAAAACACCTAAGAAGATCTTTTGATCCAGTAATCGAAGTGTAAAACGAAATTTTTATAATCAATGAAATTCGAATGGCTTTGGCGTTGCGTGCAAATGTTAGGAAGCGTACAAATCTGGCGAATGCGTTTATATTTGTAATTATGTTTGAAATAAAAAAAAAAACCTGTTCAAACGTATACATGTATCAGTAAATAAGCTTTATCTTCGTACGATCATCGTACAGTAAACAGCACATCAAGTTACACACTTTTGTTCGAATATCGCATTCAGTGCAACGCAACAAGGTCCGTCAATGTGTTGCATGATGTGTTGCCGTCTGTATGTTTTATGATTTTTTTTATAGTCATATTTATATAATATACAGTTTATTGCAATAGAATTGAAAATAGTTATTACATTTAATGATTTTTTTAAATTTTAGTAGCAATAGAGCACATCTTGAAATAGTTCGCCCAGGGAAGCACTGCCGCCTTACCTAGTTCTGCCGCCAAGTAGTAATGTGATTACTGCGTTCCGGTTTTAAAAGGTAAGGTAAGGGTGCTGGTGAAATTACAGGCACATAGTACTTTTCAACTTAATTTATGTTTCAGGATGACGAGCGCAGTGGCACTGAAAGCACAGCTTCGGAGTGTCTCTGTTATTCGAGCGACTCTGCGAACGATGAAATCGGCGAGAGCGGCAGCGTGACGTAGATCGACTGCGCATGCGTGGCAGCGCAGTAAGCGTAGCTACCTGTCGCGTCAGATCGGCGATGATCTGACGTAGCTCGTTGATCTCGGTAGCGATGGAAGGCGTGGATGTCAATGTTGATGAGGTGGATGGCATCGTGAGTTGATGAATGTGAGGTTGCTGGATGACTTCATTGATGTTGTCGGCAAGTTGCGAATTTCTCTAACTGACAATCTGTCTGAGAAGCAATGATGGCTTGAATGTTGTTAGGAAGTCTGTTTGCCCAGAGGGATCGCACAAATTCGTCAGGTACCCGAGGTCCAGCAAGGTTTTGTAGATGCCGTAAGAACTACGAGGGTTTGCGATCGCTTAGTTCTTCGTGAGGTAACAGTTGACGTAACTTCTGTTCTTGCGACACTGACAGTCGTTTGATCAGTTCAGATTTCATTTTTTGATATTTGGTGCCATCAGTTCGGGTTCACAACTATATCTTTCACCTCGGATACATATTTCACG